GCAATTTCTTTTCTGAAATAATAATCTATAAGACCAGACAAGAAGATAGCGTGAACATTCCCTTTTTTTGTATATTCAACTAAAAATTTCAAATTTTTAGGAATCTTATTCCATGGCGGTGGAAATACTTCAGTGAGATTAAGATTCTTCCATACATCAGGAAATTTGGAGATACGACAGAATGCTTTGCATGAAGTAAGGGAAGATACGAAGTCAAGAGCAGAAGATTCTCCAACCTTACCAAGTATGACAGCTAGCATGTCGTTGGGAAGGTTAGTTAGAATTGGCTGAAGACACTTTTTACTCATTATTTAGGTTTTGATATTTGAATTGATGTAGAAGTGTATGCCTTTGGTTCTATTTATAGCAAAATATGTGATTATAATTATCTTTCCCCGATATTTAAAAATGTCTGAATGCATGTTTTACTCCATTTTTTAAATCAATACAATAATAACACTAAAAATCTCTACAGGCTTGACACATCAACATTTTGAGCTCTTCTCAGGTTGACACCTCATTAAAATCATCGTCCAATAAAAACATTTAGATTAATATACATCAGCTCACCAGTTTGCCATATCAGATTTCCAGCATGCCACATTAGCATTTTATAAAAAAACACATCATTTAAAAAAGACAACCAATCAAATTAAAACAACTATACACATAATGATTTTAATTTTTTTTGATAATGATAAATGAATTTATAATTTGTTTAATAATACAATATCTACAAAAACTGGAAAAAAAAACTATCCTCTTTATTTTTAAAAAATTTGTTTGACATCTAGTGGTTTTTAGAGAACACCATGCATAAAGTGAATTTAACAAGTAGTTTACGCTGTGTGTTGCTTTTGTAAATTAAATTTGTTTTAATATAAGTTTGTATGGTAAAAATGTAAAAGATTCTTCAGATATTGTATTTTACCTTTGCTTGTATTTTCAATTTTTATTTTATTATTTTATATATGCATAAACTAATAAATAATTTTTATATCTTACTTTTACAAAAAAAAAATGTACCATATAGTTAATCTTTTTATTTGTTTGTTATTATTTTATGTTTTTGTATTAGTTGAATTTTTTACAAATGTTAGATTTGTTTTTATATTGTGATATAAATATGTTTCAGTGAATATTATACTCCAAAAACCTTAGATTATTTCTGTTAAATTATTGGGGTGCATAAGTACAATTAGAATCATAGTTTATTCATAAGAGTTTACGATTGCTAAATTGGTTTACGTTTCTTTTTTATTTTAGTTGAAGAAGTTCTCAGCAGTAAAGAACATTATATTTTTAGGATTGTAATCTCACACTTGCTATATTCTATTATTCCGTCTTGTTACTTCAAGATGTATGGTCAAACTTGAATCTCTATGTTCCTCTTATACATGTATCTTGCTTCACTTGATCATCTGTATATAAAGCGCAAAGCTTTGTTAGTTTCTGTTCAAAAATGAAATTCACAAAGAAAAAATGGTCAAATTGTTCTATGTTCTAACCATAGAGATGCGTAGCCAAGTGAAGTTTGCACTTGCAATTTGACTTATTTTGGATTTATGCTTTTTTTTGTTATTTATAAATTTTGGTTGAAATATCACAAATGTTATTGATTAATTTGGTTATTATGAGTGTTCTATTTTATAAGAATATATAATTCAACATAGCAAAAAGGTGAAAATTAACTTTGTATTTGTGGTTTATGTTTTGAATGAATGTGATCTCACGCCAGCTCAAACGCTTGATCTACTCTATTCCAAGAACATTTAATGGTAAATATAAGTTAAGAGCAAGACAAGAAGAAAGATGGGATTCCCTAGAATGCTAAGAACCAAATGATCGTCATTCCGTAACTGTTTATCTTTGAACATTCTAATTTTAAGACACGAACCAAATTCTATTTACCAATCTTTATGAATTATTTGGCCTATTCATTTTAAAAACCCATAACAAAGTATGGTCCATCTTTTTCGATTTCTATATTTTCATAGAATTTTTCGTAACTTTATTTAATAAGTTTCTCAAGAGAGATTGATGTCTCTTGTGGATGTGGTCGAAAGACAGACTAATTGATTCCAATAGTAAAGCCAATGTAATAAACTTTATTATTTTGCATATTTTTTGTGTTATCTTATATCCTGAATTTATGAGGATAGCTTTGTTTGTATTTCTCATAATAGAACAAAGATGAAGAGTGTCGTAAACTCTTAGACAAATAAACAGAATTGTAATTCTACTGTTCATTGTAAACACACCCTCTTTTTTTTTTAGTTTGTTGTTAATAGATTCTGTTTTTTTTCTTAAATCCTCTTTCTTTTTATTTTTGATGTAATAATATTGCTTTGGTTTTGATTGTTCAAATAAAACAAATTTTAAGAAAATATCCGCGTTCGACCTAGTTTGATTATAACTACTAAAGACATCCAAAATGTAATCAGTTGGTGACATGTAGTACAATTAGTAATGTCCACTGGCTTATTTAATATACCGTAGAGATAATTGGCTGGGAGACAATAAATCTTGGTCTAATTAGTTTTTCTACATTTCGTTTCAGAGTCCATAACAAAGAAAATTTTAGCCCACATTTGTCCCCAAACAAACCCCACGCGTCTGACGTTTCGTTTTTGCTTTTACTTTTTGACTCTTATGTGTTTATTTCTCTTTCATGTTCATCTATCTCTTCTCTCTCAACTATGTTCTAATTAATTCATTCAAACCGAGTAGAAAAACACTGTCGTTTACTATTCACACTGCCGTATCGAAGAATTATATAGTAAATCTATTCTCTGGAAGAGACAACTTTCACGAACAAATATGGATCTACAACCTTTTTTGAATCTCCACAAATAGATCTACAAAGCATTGATGCAAATCTAAAGAAATTTGTGGAGATGGGTCAAGGAATTTAGATAGATAAACTAATAATAACAGTTCATGCATAGATAAACTAATAAGAAAATTTATGGTGAAAAGTAAGAAAACTCATAGTCCATAGTCTATGCATAAAATAAATTTAGGTGAAAACGTTCGAATTTCATCAAAATTTCACAAATAAATAGTAAGACATGCTGCCCTGCAAGTTTCATGTATCCCTTGGTTAAATTTCTTAAATTTCGTAGCAACGTTTCTCTGGAGATAGACGATAGAAACCCTATGAATTGCTTTTTGGGTAAACATATCCCAATTAGTTAAAGAATTAATAGTTAATTATAAATTTTGCTACATGTGCATACACTTTCTTAGAGTCATATATCGAACTATATAGTGCTAAATTTATCAATAGATATCTACGTAATTAGGTTAGTGGTTTAAAATTATTATTTTCCACCCATACGTGTTCGTTATAGATCAAATTTCAGAATTACGAAGACAATTGGACGGCTTGCATTTAATAATCGTCCCTCGTTCTTTGTGTCGCCGTGTAAAGGTAATTTCACATGCAGAACATTTAAAACTGTCATTTCATTCGTTCTTCTCACCAAAAGTCAATGGTGTTTATCACACGCGCATGGCCAAAACACCAACTGGTTTTATTGTAATTTTTTCGAATTCAAAACCCATATGTAACGATTATTTTTCTTTTGTTTGGGACCAAGTCTACTATTGTCTTTTACCTAATTACCTATCCCAATTTTGTCTCTACACAAAATCACCCTATACCGTAATCCTCCCCCACAACCCGAAAACATGCATATGTTAATATCTATGATATGGCACTACCCCCCATACGTGTTCGTTATAGATTCAAATTTCAGAATTTCGAAGACAATTGGACGGCTTGCATTTAATAATCGTCCGTCGTTCGTTGTGTCGCCGTGTAAAGGTAATTTCACATGCAGAACATTTAAAAAATGTCATTTCATTCGTTCTCCTCACCAAAAGTCAATGGTGTTTATCATACGCGCATGGCCAAAACACCAACTGGTTTTATTATAATTCTTTCGAATTCAAAACCCATATGTAACGATTATTTTTCTTTTGTTTGGGACCAAGTCTATTATTGTCTTTTACCTAATTACCTATCCCAATTTTGTCTCTACACAAAATCACCCTATACCGTAATCCTCCCCCACAGCCCGGGAACATGCATATGTTAATATCTATGATATGGCACTACCCCCCCATACGTGTTCGTTATAGATTCAAATTTCAGAATTACGAAGACAATTGGACGGCTTGCATTTAATAATCGTCCCTCGTTCTTTGTGTCGCCGTGTAAAGGTAATTTCACATGCAGAACATTTAAAAACTGTCATTTCATTCGTTCTCCTCACCAAAAGTCAATGGTGTTTATCACACGCGCATGGCCAAAACACCAACTGGTTTTATTGTAATTCTTTCGAATTCAAAACCCATATGTAACGATTATTTTTTTTTTGTTTGGGACCAAGTCTACTATGGTCTTTTACCTAATTACCTATCCCAATTTTGTCTCTACACAAAATCACCCTATACCGTAATCCTCCCCTACAGCCCGGGAAAATGTTTTTACATAAATCAAAATTATTGATAAAATAAAATAAAAAATATTATAAAAATATATATAATGGTAAAGAAACAATAAAAAAGTAACTAAAATTTTAAGTTTTTTTTATTCACAATAATTTTGGTTTCGAATTTAATGTATAATATAGAATTTCACAATAACTAAAATTTGTATCTTATTTAAAATTTGTATTAAACTACAATATATATATATATCTTATTTAACATTTGTAGATAAAATTTAATTTTGTGCGAAAATACCTAAATTTTATTTTGATTTGTTATTCGCTTAAATAATCAAGACAAAAAATCTAGATTTCACCAATTAAAAGTCTGCTATCATCAGTCGACATAGCAATTAATCTGTCTATAAATCAAATCTTACCTCAAAGACAAAAAAAAACCCTAGTCGTACCAAAATCTAGGGTTTACCTTGACCGGATCTAGACACATAAGCTATTCAGGTTCTCTCCTCTTATTCTCTCTCCCTGTCTCTTGGTCTCCTCACTCTCCTGTAGAAAACTTGGTTAAAGTTTAACACTTTCTGTCTTCTCATCTCTTACAAGAGTGTTTCTGTGTTCAATTTTGAGTAGATATGGAAGTGGTTGCTGTTGGGTCAATGGAGACGCAGAGACAGGAGACATGGGCTTGCTCTGTCACTGAGTCGTTTCTCATCCTCGCCGGAAAGAACCTGGCTTGTCTTCTCCTTGTGGTAAAGAACAGTTTTTTTTATCAGTCTTCTTGATTTCTGCGGTTTAGATTTGCCTTGTTTGCTTCTTGTTTCTCTGTTGGGACTGTATTTGTGGTTATTTTACCGTATTGATTTGCAAAGAACATTAGACATTTGTCTTATCTGTTGTGTAGTTATGTTCTGTTAGAATTGTCTTAGTCCAAGGTTTGTAGATTTGTTTCTATCCCTTGTGAGAAATTGATTCATATCTGCGTATTCAGAGTCCTGTTTTGGGGTCTAGATTTTGTCTTAACATTGTTTTGGTTTGATTTTAGCTATGTGTAAGTCTTAGACTAGCACTTAAACTATGTCCCTTTCGTTAATGGTTCTAGATGAATCTTTGCACAATGAGGTAGCTTAGAAACAATGTTCAGTGTCACTCTTTTTGTTAATTGGTCACTTTTATTTTGTGGGTTTTGCCATTTGTTGTTAATGAAGTTGAATAGAGCTTAGAAACAATGTCTAGTGCCTCTCTTTTTGTTAATTGGTCACTTTTATTTTGTTGGTTTTGCCAATTTCTGTTTATTTATTGCGCAATGATTGTGTGTGTCTTTGTAATGAGGATTTGTTCTTGGAGTTGGGGTTATTGAGCTACACACAATCAGAAGTTTCTCTTTGCAAGTTTAGATTTGATACACACTTGGTGTTGATTGTTGTTGTTATATGCTTTCCATTTTCGAATAGGATCCTTTTTATCTTGTTTTCGCGCTTTTTAATTCCCTTTTCGACGAATCTTGCATTAATGTATCACATCTTTATCACATTCTACTGTTTGGTTGTGTCTTTCTATTTTAACAAGCATTCTTGTGTCATCGTTGCAGGCAGAATCTTTGCTGATAGGGTTGATGGCTGTTGACCAGAGGTAAGTATTACGGGCACGCCTTTCCTTCTCCTTCCCTTTTTATTGTCGAGGAGCATGAGTTTTACCTAAATGGACCAATCTATATTTATCTTTCTCTAGGTTGTCTCTGAAGGAGGGTTACAAAAGAGGAAGCCGTGCTGAGGAAAACAAAGATGCTAGTGACACTGAAGATGACGACGATGATGATGAAGACGCTGATGAGGATGACGACGATGAGGATGATGCTAATGATGAAGATTTCTCAGGGGGTGAAGGGGAAGAAGGGGAAGAAGCTGATCCAGAGGATGATCCAGTGGCTAATGGTGCAGGAGGAAGCGATGACGATGATGACGATGATGAGGAGGGTGATAATGATGACGATGATGAGGACAATGAGGATGAGGAAGAAGACGAGGATGAGGAAGATGATGATGATGTTCGCCAGCCGCCCTCTAAGAAGAGAAAATGAATCATGAGTTAATGAGTGTTTGTGGTTTGGATGGTTAAAGACTTGAAGAGGATGCTCTGTGTTGGTTTAAGTAGTGTAGGGAAACTTATCGTCCTCTTATTGAACTTCATCTTCTCTTGTTGTTACTATTTGTTGTCATGTGTGATTTTTCGATGTGGATTTTAGTTATCTTCTATGTTTAGAATGTTTGGTCTCTTCTACACAGGCCCGGCCCGAAGCAGAAGCCCAACAAGCAAGGGCTTCTGGCAGCATATTTTATAAGAAATTTTAGGGGCATCATTTATGAGAATGTCCTATAGTCTAGTGGTAAGGGTAACATGCCAACTTATGTCAAACCAGGGTTCGACTCCTTCTGGTATTGTTTCGCTAAATCGATTTTTTTTAAAAAAAATTCGTTTTCATTAAAAAAAAAATTAAAACGAGTATTCTGTTTTTCTTTTGTTAGATTTATTAAAATTAAATAAATAGTTATTAAACAATTTAATCTCAAAAACCTAATTTTTCTACCCGTGACAAGTTATATTCTTCCTCTTGGTCCATCACCATCAAAACCCTATTAAAAAATTCCAGCTTCTTCTCCATCTTAATCTCTTACACCAATTGTTTTCTAACTTTAATCTCTGTTCTTTACTCATGTATGTCTTCTTCTATTTCTCTTTTTTTTCTTATCAAGTTTGCCATGAAGAAAACTGATGTTTCTTATCAATTATTTGATGCTTAAAGCAAGGAAGATTATCTTTTGCCATGAAGAAAACTGATGTTTCTATTATTTTTTGCTTGTTTACAATTTTTTATGTTCAACTCTTATAAACAAATTCAGTTTCATGGTATTTTATTCTGCGAAAAAAAAATTTTGGGGCATCATTTTTGAATTTGCTTTAAGCATCAAATATCCTCGGGCCGGCACTGCTTCTACATCTGCCTACGGTTGAACAAAAGCTCGTGCAATAAGAGATACGAACCCAAAAGTATAACCTATTAGCTATTATAGTAAGAGGAGCTATACAACAAATCCTACAATTGTGGTTACAAATCACATAAGATTATGCATCAACATGGTGAGAGCACTACTCAATTAGGGGATTGCATTCCTAATCCAAAAAATATTTAAACTTACACTCATTACGTAAAAATGTTATACAAGAAGTGTAATAGACTCTAAAAGGTTAAATGGCTTCATCACCGAGCTTACTCGAGAAGAAAACGCATACCTAAAATCCATCTATTGTAAAGTTCATCAAAAAAGATACGTAGACTGTTTAGTTCGATTAGTTTGTTTAAGAGACTATGATTTTGTTTATGACAAAAAAATATCCTCAGAATTGAGTAACCAATCAAAAAAATTTTATTTTATCAGAAGTTTAGTTATTAGAGAAAAATTATTCGAACTTTACTATAATTAAGTGATAGTTAAAAAAGTTTAGTAAGCTTTCAAATGTTTGGATATAAATTCTCATAAGCCACTGCCAATTTGGATGGTTCGATAGAAGGTTGGAAAAGTAGTCAATAAACCATTTAGATTAAGATGACAAAAGAAACAAAGAACCATACTTGACTAATATTACTTTTGTAATCCCTTATGGTATTTCCATGGGGTTTTCACAGATATGTGTAACATGACATATGAAATAAACGTAAGAAACAATTAGAAAACTCAAGGTCGGGAAGGTTATGCATTGCTTCTTATTCATGATTTGGCTTTGAATCCAATATCGTCATCCCACATGAAACAGACTAGTAAGACACATGAAACAGACTAGTAAGACGGGGCAAGAACACTTTTCGTGGTATATCCTCGACCTATTCTTCAAATGCAAGTTCTCCACCAAGATTTGGCTCCCTTTTGCTACTAGCTTTGGTCATTAATGAATGAACAGTCAAACCATTGCATATTGGTCTCATTGTCCATTGCCACAATACAAAGGTAAGGGTTATACTAAAATTCTTTCTCCAAGATACCCTCTACACAATCTGGAGGGAACAGAACACGAAAACTTCACCAACAATCATGCCTCTACAATTTCCGGACGACTTGACGCGATTCAAACCACCAGCAACCGACTCCACTCCTTTCAACCAAGGGCTCTTTTTACCTCAACCCTTCGTGAATTTAATTTCAGTTGTACAACAAATCCTATCTAAATCCTTCATTTGTCTCCACATTAGGTTCTCTCTCGTTTTCATGTTTGTAGTCCGATAGATGTAAAATTTATGGCAAAAATAAAATTTACAGAAAACCAATTCCAAAACAATACTAAGGCTCAGGAACCAAACCCTTAAAGTGTCAGAGAGATCGACAAGGCCTTAAGAAACAGTACAAACTGAGCTCATCTAGTTCAATAGTAGTAAACTTTCTTGCAATCAACATTAACTTGACCAATGCTGATGACCAAAAGCCATGAACCAAGAAACCACTCTTCTAGTTAGAGCCACCATTTCTCCCACCTATTCAATACACAACACAATAAATTAGATTTATGGAACCAAAAAAAGATAAAACCAAAATTGTATGAGTCTCTTCAAAGCATCCATATCAAGATATTTAGCAACACCTATTGATAGAAGAGTTAAACCTATTACGGCGTCTCTGACATGTATATATCAAGGTATCAGAATAGTATATTCACCCCAAGTCTCTACATCAAGGTGAAAACTTTTGTCATCCAGACCAGCCAACAAACTAACAAGACATCATATATTGAAATGTTTTAGACCCATCTATACAAAGGAAAATTCTATACTATAATGTAATGGAAATCATATCTTCAAAGACCCAACTTGACTTCAAAAGATAGCACTCTATACGATTACTTACAAATTCAATCGCAACATCGAACAAACACACTTAACCATTCTATACTACAACGTACTAGAAACCATTTCTTCAAAAACGCATCTTGACTTCAAAAGATCAAGTACTTATAACTTTACTGATGAATTCAATCAAAACAACAAACAAACATGCTAACCACAGAGATTAAGAAAGACCTACCCTGTCAAGGAAGCTTTCCTGACCGAAAAACAGCAAACTTAGTCATGTCGGAATTCGAAAACTCAATCTTGTTCTCTGTAAGAAACTCCTCAATCATTGTCTTAACACGCTCTGGTTCCTCTGTCTCACATTCAATCTCATAACAGTTCCCAAAATCATACTTAGTCTCATCAACCTCAAGTTTCACACCTCTCCATTCATAAACATTCCTAACATTCTCAAACCCACCTAAACAAACAAACCCTAGAAAGTCTTTAAACCCATATTCCTCTTTAACCCTTTTCAAAACCCTAGATCCAATATCTGAGAGCTTAGCCGGTGAATCAACACATTCTTTACCAATCCCATACTCAATCTCCTCTTCATCTTCCTCCACACGACTAATCCCATTAGCTAGAGTTGGTTTCGCTTTAAGAGAGACGATACAACGCGGCGGAGAAGAAGAAGCCGCAGAAACGGCGGCGTTTTGGAGGAAACGGAGACGGAGGACGGCGCGGCGGAGAGAGAGATCGTTTTTGGGTGTGTCGAAGAAGATGTTGCGTTGGTGAAGGGTTTTGAGATGGTATGGAGTGAGGAGAGTGGTGAGACGGAGATGAGCAGCGGCGGTTAGGAGACGGAGCTTGACTTCGACTTCCATGGAGGAATTGAGTTTCAAGGGAGGCCGATTCTGTCGGATTTGGAAGATTGGTTTTTGTGTTTTGGGTCTATGAGGTGGTGGAGAGAGGAGGAGGCGGATGGAGCGGTGGTTGTGGTGGTGGTGGATGGTTGAGATTTGCGGGATTGTTCAAGCTCTTCACGGTCTTCGATTTTCAGTTGGATTTTTGTGGGTTTTCTTCTCAACATTTCGGAATCACAGAGATCTCTATGTCCTCCTCGCGCTTTTGTTCTTGTGATTGAATTAACCTAAGCCCATATATATAAGGCCCGTTAAAAACTTGGTCCATTTCTGGCTTCCTGAAATTAAATTCTTTGAGGAAACGGGTTTGTTTACCGGGTTTTATGGTTATGTTCTTTGGTGGAATCTTTGTTTTTGGGGTAAAATTCTTTGGTGGAATCTTAGGTAGGCTAAATTGTGAAAAATTAGTGATTGATTAGTAATTTGGCTTAATTTATATCATATTTCATGAGTTGATTGCTAATTAAGCCTGATTACCTTGTCATGTTTGAAAATATTAATGAAATGTTCAAGTGAATCTTGTATGTTTTTTTTTCTCTAGTCATAAGAAGTTATTTCAATTACGAGAGTGAAACTTTAAATTAGCAGTCTCAAATAATTCATAAGTAAGAACCTTGGAATACCAAAGAATGAATAAATAAAATTTTGTTAACTGGAATTTAGCCCATAAGTATAATATAAAAAAATATTTATAAGATTCTCTAAGGGAAATAGAATATTACGTTCGCGTGATGATAATAATATTAAATGTAATGAACATACTCAATGTTTTAAAATCGCTAGGTGCTATCTAGGCAGTCAACTAACGCGTAAACGACCGAGTCATAGATTACTCAGAAACCAAGCACTACGAAAAATTAAAAAGAAATTATGAAAAAAAAATTCCTAGTACTTTTCTTCTCATGTATCTCAAAATGAGAAAATCTTATTTCATCTAGAGAAACTCTTGTTTCTTTTTCTGGATGTGTATCTTATTTTACATATCTTGGTATTAACAATGCTGAACAAAATATTATATCAGCAAAAAGTTATTTATTTAGAAAAGTTTTAAAAAGCTTAAAATTCGTGTGTAAAGTTAAAAGAAAAACATATTTAGTACAATTGATCATCCACCTAATAGCGAATAAATGTTCAACTACAAATGGTTAGTATGTAATATAAATATTCACCAATATATAGTAAAATGCATCTTAAAATGTAAAAAAAAAAATATAATCATAACCAATTGTACAAAAAAAATAGACAATATATTTGATGAGACTAAATAAAATGACAACAAAGAAAGTAAAAGAAAAAAAAGGAGAGAGAGAGAGAAAAAAAGTGTCAAAAGTGATCTATGTATCATCCTCATGTTTTTGTTCTTGTGATTGGATTAATCTAGGCCCATATGGTTAGGCCCGTTAAAAACTTGACTAATTTGTGGCTTGCTGAAATTAAATACGTTTGGTGGATAGTACTTAGTAGGCTAAACTCTAAAAATTGATGAAAAAAGATTATTAAGTAATTAGGCTTAATTTCCTTCATATTTGATGAGTTGATTGCTAATTAGTAATTACCAATTGTCATGTTTGAAAAGATTGATGAAATTTCTCAAGTGAATCTTGTATGGGGATTTTTTTCTCTAGCCATAAGAAGTTGTTCCAAATAGGAGAGTGAAACTTTAAATTAGCAAAGTCTCAAATAAATTCATAAGCAAGTTGTAACACCAAGGAATGAATACTCAAAACCTAATTCATTCAAGCACAATGAAAATAATTTAAAATGTGATGGACAAACATATTATAAATGTTAAAAAAGGTTGATCAAAGAATGTCAAAGCACTAGACAATACACATTAATAAGAATCATGAAATAAGAGAAACCTATAGTCTAACAAAGAAGACGTCAATACGAAAAATCATTAAAAAGTGGAATACGTTGTTGTTGTTGTTGGGATAGATGATGGATATCTTTCACGATGTCGAACACGGCCTCAGGTTGCGCCAACTTTAGAGCATTCTCTGACATTTTCTTTAGTTCCTCTTTATTGTTGCTAAACCAATTAGCCACAATTTTCGCAGTTTCTTTGGGACTTCGGGTGAAAACTCCAGCTCCATTGTCCACAACATACGGCACGTTCCCTTTTTCCTTTGGGGTTTACATTCAAAAGAGTTAGTTTATGGACTAATGATGGCCGATTAACCGCAAAGGTGAAGCAAAAGAGTGTATATACCTGTCCAGGAATATAGTCATTGAGGATAATTGGGAGACCACAAATCAATGCTTCTGCAATCGTACCTGGACCGGCCTGTTTGATGTCATAAACACTTGTTAAACTTAATTCTGATATAAATCATAAGTAGTATTTACCGGTATAGAGGATTCGAAGATACGACTTACCTTTGTGATGATACAATCACAAGCTCCCATCCATTTTTCCATTTGTGTTTCAAACCCACGAACCTATAAACGTCACAAATATATATATTAGTAATCACATGCTCTATAAGTAAGTATATATAGTAAGTAAAAATTTCACATTTTAGTTTGTACCTTGACCGGAATCTTCCATTCATGGGACGCTAATGCTGAAGCAAGGACTTTGTTTCGGCCGCATATGACAATCAATTGTCCTATTGGATTTCTTTCTTTAGAGTTGTATAAAGCATCTCCAAGGGCTAGAGCGGTTTTTTGAACCGGACCCATTCCTTCACCGCCTCCCATTAATAGAACCGCAGGTAAATTTAAGTCTATTTCAAGCTCTCTCCTTAGTTCATCCTAAAAAAATCACATAATAATAGATATTGTTGATCTTCTGTTGATTGAAAAAAAAAAAATCTCTAAATGGTATGAATTGGACAGAACTTACCTTGTAGATAATTGTACGAGGGAAAGATGGGCGGACGGGTAAGCCAAAGACACGAATTTGAGAATCATCAAGGCCGTCTACTAATGCTCTCTTTGCAACCTCTTTCGACGGACAATAACATCTGCTGACTCCATGATGGAACCTATTATACATCAAAATCAAAGATTTCATTTTGAGCTATAAGTTTAAATTTTAAACATCGCAGATATATCATCTATATTTATTAAAAGAAAAGTCATGAGAGTAAACAAGAAAGGATTAACATGTTGAGGTGTGGATTAAACTGAGTTTAGGTACTTATACAAATACACATAGTACATAAGTATTAAACATCATCTTACCATGTACGGTGGCAAGTATTTAGATCAGTGATAACCGTCACGAAAATGACTTTCTTATGAAGTCCTTGCCATTTCATTACCCACAATGGTATGTGTTGCATCAAAGGGTGTACGCTAATAATAATATCCGGTTTGTACTCCATTAAACCAGCCTCTATTTCTCTGTTCACCAAAAGAAGAATAGTCTCCATTATATTGCTAATTCGTGATACTAAGGGATCATAACGAAAAAAAGAAGGTTTAACATATAAGTACTTGGCATAATAAGCGGCAAGAGCACTTAGATAACTTTTGTGGATCCATTTGGGAGAGGTACCATGAAACGCGACTGACCAAAGACCAACATGTTTTACCATGAACTTGTACTGTCTCTCCATGTCGTTCAATGGCCATCCAGTGTATTCTTTCCAAACATCTTTTATGATTATCTATATATAACAATAAAGAACATTAGTACCTAGAGAAACATTTGTAACATCAAAGAGCCACAACTAGAGAAATAAATAAATAATGCAAATTTTTAATCATTATTGACAAAGAAAAAAAGGAACGTGGGACAGGTTTTAAGACATAAAATGTTGACATCAGCTCGTATCTCCGACACCCTGGCAAACTCCAAGATTCACACTAGGCTACAAAACTTCCAAGTAGATATTTTTTTCTTTCTTTTTCAAATTCAAGACGACCACTGCGACAGCTTTAATATTGACGGCTGAGAATCATTAGAATCAGAAACTCCTCTATGATATATTTTAACATAATCTATTGAAAATATGTCAAAATAAATACATATTTATTCGAGGGTATATATTACCAGCTTTGAAAAAAAAAATTTGGTAAAAAGCTTTGAAAATTTCTAAATGAAATGAACACTTCAAAATGTTTTTCTTCTTTTAAAGTTTAAACAGAAACTAGAAGTTACAAGTATGGCTGCGTTTTGTAGCTTATGTAATCTTTTTTTTTTCATTTTTTATATAGGTTATATAAATTAGAAAGCCTGTTATTGGCTCCAACAACCTTATGCGTTGGATTCAAGAAAAAGATATAAATAATTATAAAATATACATATTTTTACCCGATAGTCATCTCCGAATTCGATCTTGAAAGCGTCACGGATGGCCTCGGCGGAAGCACGGTGGCCACCGCCGGTGTCACTCATGAGAATAAGAACAGTTTTGATCCTCTCTGCTCCCATCTGCTCCATCTCCATGACTTCTTCTTTTTCTTCTAATCCTCTCTTCCTTAGACGACTCTCCTTCTCATAATCACTTGATCTTTGACGATGGATATACTCATCTTCGACCGTTGAGATGTTAAAATTGCTATAGACTCGTCGGAACACCTTCTCAGTGATTGAATTCGACCGTGTACGAGGTGACACAACTTTCATCATGACTATTTGGTGTTGAAGAAAGAATAAGAAGAAGACCGATGGTTGAGTTTCTATGTGGCTGGTTGGTGATCTTTATGTAAAACTCTTTTGGGGTTTTAAAATTTTTGATGCAAAAAAAATGGAAGACCAAGTTGCTTCTTTAAATAATTGTTTTTAAATTATTTGAGGAATGATGCTGGAATTATTCTTTTTTCTTTCCTTCTGTGTTCCTATAGTTTTGCTTATGTATTTATATTTCGTGTCTTTATTGTTTTATGTGGGGTTTAATTTAGTGGTAGAGTAACAAGAGAATAAGGCAGCTTGGAGCCGTCGGATCCGCCTTTGGTTTCGGAATCTTCGGATATAATGATTCGGATCTTTTTTTTGTACCTTAAGTACTTAAAACAACTTGACTTTTTTAAAATAAATGAATTATGACATGGATCTCCTTTTTATTAGGTAAACCGGTTTAGAAACAAAATTTATCTGGTTTGATTAGGTTTAAATCGATTCAGTTAAATATGGGTCCACTTTTTTAATATTAATTTAATAATTTTTTTGTTTGATTCAAAGTTAATTTCGATTTTTGTTTAGTGGTGATATTAATGTTGTGTATACAAAAATAGGATTCAGTTCAAATGTCGACTTCTATATCAAATTTTATATACATCAACCTAGCTTTATATATTAACATTTGGATTTCAGTTTCGAACCTTAGAAATAATGAAAGCAAAAATAAAACGACTTGCATAATTTATAGTGGATTAGAAGATCATTTGCAAAAAAAATTAACTGGATTACAAGCACCTGGTCGAATGATCAGGTTTACAAGTGGAAAAAGGTCGGGAATAAACCAGATTTGATCAATAATTTGCCATGGACTGGTTTATGTATGGTTTGTGAAAATTCTAAATCCACCAAGAAGAACAAAACCGTGTTCGAATGGGTGTTGGGGGTGGAATCGTCATTATATAGCGTATGCTAGCCTAAAAGTATGTTGTTTGTTGTAAAATTACGTATTGGTTTAGTTGTAATGAAATTAATGTAAAAATAACTATATAAGATAAGAAAATAAAATAATATTTTTTTAAAAATGTTTATGTAAATATAATTGATAATTATGTAAATTTACACACATATATATAAGATAGTATATTAATATAGAATTTTAGTGTTCTTCCTAAAATAAATTTTTGTTAGTACTTTTTTATGTTTTTATTTTGCACAAAAAAATACTTGATTCATTCAACCCCAAAATGGAGCAAAGCTTACAAATTCTTCAACTTCGTGTTTGGATACAAAAAAATTAATATAGATAAAGAGTATAACAAAAAAGTAGAGAAGAGGAGCCTCATAATTCAAGATAGATCCATAGCTCAAAGATAAGAGCGATGGAGCAATTTGCCACAAACAAGGTCATGGTGCGTCAATAACATTTCCACGAGCAATTCGGAAAAATAAAGATTAGTTATTATTTAAAGATTTGTGACGTTCGTTGTAAACGTTACCTTAGTTTTGAGAATCGCCGACTCGAAATACTCAAAGACTAGGAAACAATGAATGTTTCTCAACTTGAAAGTCGGAGATAAATTTTTGTTAGAAATCATCACTAACTTTTTTATAAAAAAATGTTATGTTATGTTCTTAAACTATTTTATTGTAGCATCGTCTATAAATTTGTCATAAAATAATCAAAAAAATTTCTAAGTTTTCAAATTCTAAATATGCATTATTTTAATTTCGACAGTTGTATAGGCGGTTCAAATACAACAATTGAGGTCACTAATCATAAATTTGAATATATATCGTTTGTATAAGTAAATTCATTTATATTCTTTGTTACTTATATTAAACTTTCAAGTCTAAAAAAATAATAGTAATAAAATCCAAAATATTATATTTAGATAAAATTGTTTAAACTCCTATTTTTCTACAGTTTTAAAATTTTTGTTTACTCTATTCAGTTCGGTATGGTTACACAAATATGGTTTCTGGTTCAAAAAAATTTAGGATTTAAGAATAATGAAACAAAACGGTTTATAAATATTTCGGTTAAGTTTCGGTTTAACTTATTTTAAGTTGGCGGTTCAATCTTATGAGTTGTGGTTTTTTTGCCCACACCTATTGACGCGAATGCACATATAGAGTTTACATCTTTAACTCAGAAGTCGAGTTCAACGAATTTGTTCATGTCTCATTCGAGAATCTCAAGTCATGAATAAGACATCTCATTTCAAATCTGACGAAGAAGTATTTTGATTGCAAAATGTAAAAGAGGTAATATTATCTAACAACAGAGAGACTATAGCATTTGGTGTTGTGACGTGTGAAAATCATTTATTATGTTTCATTCCATTGATCGCCTGAGATAACTTGATCTTATAGCCCAAAGCTGCTTCCCAACAGCTTCCATGTCCGGCCGCTCTTTTTTGGTAGGAGCAGCACATTGAAATGCCAAACTAAACATCTTTCTTAGTATCTTCTCATCTACTCGTTCCCTCGCGTTTGGATCCACCAGTTCAAACACTCTCCCTTCATTGTACTTGTCGAATGCCTGCCATAATTTTTGAAATTGCCCGCAAACTCGATTTAGTAACAGATGATGCAAGTTGGAGAAGAAACATTATTAAGTGGCTTACCCATCGAACCGTAATCCTCTCATCATGAGGTCGCTTGGCCTCCACTGGACGACGGCCTGTGAGTATCTCCACAAGCAAAATCCCGAACGAGTAAACATCGCTTTTGGCAGTGAGCTGATAAGTCCTCATGTACTCAGGATCGAGATAACCAACGGTTCCTTTCACTTGAGTTAAAATGTGGGTCTGGTTCGAGTCAGTAGGACCGCCTCTTGCAAACCCGAAGTCTGCCACTTTGGCTCTCATGCTATCCGTGAGTAGAATGTTCGAGGATTTTATGTCACGGTGGATTATCTGTCTTTCTGTTTCAAAGACAAAAGAACCGTAAACTCTCAAATAAGATCCCTACAAAATTCACCAAACAATAATTAAGCACAACATTCTCCACCTGCATAAGAATGGAGATAGGTCAATCCATGGCAGACATCAATCACAATCTCCAACCTCTGATTGAAATTAAGTTTAGTTCCACGAGCACCTGCAATAACAAATGAGCCTTTATTGTTTGTTCATATGTTATTATAGCCGCGACAAGCTTGGGAAGATTTGAACAAATTCTTACCATCCAAGTGATCGCGGAGTGTACCATTTCTGACATACTCGGTTATGATAAGTCGCTCGTCTCCTTTATCAACATAACCAAGAAGCTTCACTAGATTCCGGTGGCCAATTTTAGACAAAAGGTCAACTTCACTTTTGAATTCCGTTCGCAGATTCTCAAAGTGTTCCTACATGAAAAGTATAATCTACATATTAAAAACACTTGAGGAGTATTTTGCTAATTAGTTCAGATAGTGCAGTGATTAAGGTCTCAATGGCACTGTATTAGTATAAATGATCGTTAATCTTCAAGATTAAAAAACCGAGAATAGATATCTAGTTCGAGTCCTAATCTTGGAGTCACAAAGCACCATTACTTAGTAAGACTAAACAACATATAATTAGTGTAAGAACTTGATTTCCTAACACTACAAGACCAAAGTGCTTTGGAACTCTAATACCGAAAAAGTTACGGTTGGTCATGTAAAGGTTCTATTATTAGCTTCTGTCAACATTGTCTCTATCAACATAATTGGACATGACTAAATAAACTTTACTACAAATTTGATACCACAAGAAAATTGAAGCTAAAGAATAATAAAAGTACCTTTTTTGCTCGTTTTATGGCAACCACCTGGCCATCATCTAGAAACCCTTTATAGACTACCCCAAAGCCTCCTTCACCGATTTGATGAGTGTCTGAGAAATTGCTGGTTGCTGCATTAATCTGACTCATGGACAGATTCAAGGGTCCCAGTCTACTAGGCCTCGGGGACATAGCATATCTAGATGGACTTTGCGGTACACGGGACGGACTTGGTGGTGCCCGGAATGGACTAGGCGGAATCTTCTCAGAAGAAGGGCTCATTTCAGAAGAGGAAACTTGGTGCACTGTGATAGAATATAGGAGCTTCAATGTCAAATGTTATTTCATAATCTACAAAAGAAAAATAAATGTGAGAGACACTTAGTCACCTGAGTTAGATTCTTTAGGTAGAACTTCATGACTATTTGCTTTCCTCTCCTTATGGAAGCAAGGACAACATAGCCCGCAAAACAAGAGAAGAAACCCGCTTCCTGCCATGCTGACTTTAACATGGCTATATTCAGATTTAGGCTTACTATTTTTGGAATCTTTAACAGATTTTTCTTCCAAAAACCTTCTCCCTACATAAAACCAGAAGCTGATCAATGTCGCACATAACCGAATTCGGTTACTATATATAATTTGGCGTAACCGATCAATAGAGCAAACCTAGTAGATAGTGAACTGTGCAGAAGTCATCACTGAAAGAATCCCCAAAGATACAACCATTGGCTTTGTGAAACCGTAAGGCTTCGCAAAAGCGGATTTTCTCCACCGGGTTCCCGTTAATTGTGAACAAACTCCCTTGTTGATAAGGCTTTGTGTAGGTCAAGTGATCAGACCGACAAACACTGGAGCTTACAAAGGGTGCTGATGCAGAAGTTTCCTTGATTTGCAATAACATTAACAGACCAAACAAAGCAGTACACACCAATCTTGTGAAGCTCAAATCATCTCCACCCATAATTTTGGTTATATCAACAAAATACTCAAAATAGAAAAGACTCAGCTTCAATAAACCATTTCTAAACTCAATTATGAGAATCTTTGAGTCCAGAAGATTTTCTCTAAACCTGTAGAAACAAAAACTCAGCTTTAGAAACCTTCCAACATTAGGGTTCCATTTCAATACCAACTAAACTAAAGCAAAGATCTAGTAAGAGATTCCAGCACCACCTAAACCCTAAAAGAAACTCTCAATTTCTGAATTCAAAGGTTTCCAAGAAAAGAAAGAAAACAAGAAATCAATTAAGCAAAATCAAAAAAGAAAACTTTTTGATTGGAACTTGTAGACGAGACCAATTTAGAGAAAACCCAGAAAAGTTAAGCAAGAGAAGACCAAAACCTGGAACACGATCTTGTAGCTTTGACTTGACTGTACAGTATTTGAATCAGTTTGACCGAAAACAAAGATTTATTCTGTTTTCAGACAATTATGCCAAAGAAAGAAGACTAAAAGTATTTTGTCTGAAGGAGGAGAGTTAGGGACGTGGTAACGATCTCATGGAAGACATCGTGTGGAAAACTTTGAAAATTCGTGTTCTGTTTCTTTTCCGTCTCAGGAATATTCGTGTTGTTTTCTTTGCTAGATGACGGTAATGGAAAAAAAAAACAAATAAAATCTAAAATCAATTGAAAATAGTTTTTGTAAATTCGGATCAAACCGGACCAGACCACAAACCAGTATGATTGATTGATAGTCGGAAAATTATTATTGAAAAGTTGAACTTTTTGGAATATAGAGACCTTTCTCCCTGTCAATAAGAAGCGCCTTTTAGCCCACTTACAAAGACTGTGGTAAATGGGTTATTGGACCGGTCCGTTTGTGGGGTAAATGGGTTATTGGACCGGTCCGTTTGTGGGATAAATGGGTTATTGGACCGGTCCGTTGTGAGAAAAATCTTGGTTCGGATGAATTTTTCTAAACATCTAAAACTTTTATTAACATGCATTTTTTGTTTTATATTTAGGACGTTTTCGAGAATGTAAATGTTTTTCCACGGTGTTCTCTCTCTTTTCTCCTTCGTATCTTTTAGAGAGATGAACTCTCTTTCCATCGACTAATCTAGTGAATCGCCGTCCCGTTTGACTCGGGCTTTTGTCCAGCGTCTTATGGCTCCGTTCAGTGGCAGAGCCAGGATTGTTTTTAACTGGGGTCAAAAAAAAAACAAAAATTTTATAAACTATTAAAAAAAGTAATTTGGATCACAAGTCGTTGCAAACAAATTTACAAAAAACGAATCACATCACGAATAAAAAAAGTTTTTTCAATGAAATAGCAAAGGAAATAACTGATTACCTTGATTTAGAGAAGCCATCATTTAGGGTTTTTTTTTTTTCCTTCGTCCATGAGAAGAAGAAGAGACAAAGAACTGTGTTTTATTGTTTTGTTTATTATTAGAAATATAATTTAGGTGTATTTTTGTATTAATCCATGTAAATCATTGAAAATTGTATTAATTGTTTGGGTTTAACTTTAAACGTGGGTTCAATTTATAAAAGTAATGGGCTTTTTGTAGATGTAAATTAGTTTTTGATTGGGTCAATGGGGTCGAGAGATATTTTTAGTTGGGTTCAATAGATTTAATATAAAGACATATAATGGAATTTTTAAAATTAGTAGGGGTTAGCTGACCCCACTACCCACCAAGTGCCTCCGCCCCTGGCTCCGTTAGCCAAGATGGTTGGCTTCCGTCTGGAATCGACTGGCTTCCTCAGCCGTGATGTCCGGCTTCTCTTCCGGCATGGATGGTTTCTTTAACATCTTTGGTCGGCTTCCGTCCGGGATCGACTGGCTTCCTCAGCAGTGATGTCCGGCTTTTCGTCCGACATGCATGGTTTCTTTAACATCCTTGGTCGGCTCTATCTCCGACATGGATGGTTTCGTTAACATCCTTGGTCGGCTTTAGTCTAGAGTTTCATCGTTCGTCTATTGGTGATTCGTTTAGACTTTGAGTCGGATTTTTCGGCGTTTGTATTTATTTGCTTTGAATAATCTCATCGGATCTCTGATTGGTGATGGCAATTTTAGTGAATTTTCACTAATCTATTGTTTTCTCCGATTCATCCTTTGAGTTTCTGGTTTTTTAATATGCCGTATCAGATTTACAGGAATTATCCCAGTGATTTACAATTTTAATTGAAGAAAAGAAGAAGAACCCGAAGCATACTATCAATTTCCTTTAGCTGATATCCTCTTCTGGGCTCCGATTTTGTTAAATGGTGAAAAACTACAAGATTTACTGTACGAATGTATATCGGCGGTGACTCTTGTCATCGGAATCGGTGGTGACTCTTGTCATCGGAATCGGTGGTGAACGGCAAGACTGAAGTCGGTTTCCATTAGAATTCTCATCTTCCTACGTGTTCAAAGTTTGTTCTAATTGACGACACGTGTTTGGGATGGAGACTCAATGAGTCATTGTAATTTCCTTTTCATTAGGGTTACTTTTGGGCTCATGCTGGGCTTTAATTAATTCTTGAGAAATCATAGTTGTAGGGCTTTTGTTTATATCAGCCCATGTTGTTGTTGGTTCAGTGTAATAAACTCAGACTTTTGTGAAAAAAAAAAAATGTTTTCACGGTCAGATATACTAAATTTTTAATTTTCTAAAAGTATAATTAAACTCATTATCGTGTGAGTTTCAATTTGATATATTATTCACCAAAATTTTACGAATTTGACAGTAGCGAAAAAAAGGTACATAATGTTTATTTTTGACTACGTATGATTAATTTGCATTTTTTTGGAGGTGAAAGGTAAAATTACAAAAATTGGCGAGTTGGGAGTCTTTTTTTGCACAAACCGCTTTAAAAGGTACATAATGGAAAATTTGTTGAGGAGAGATATTTGAGCTCTTGTTGAGGGACATGTATAAATCGTTGATTTACTAGACAGTGAAATTTATTTGTTGTAAGGTAATATAGTCAATAGTAAAAATAGTTTTTGGATACAAGAAAAAAAATTCTTTTAAAAGGTATATTTTGGATATTTTTGACTAGGAGAGATATTTGAGCTTTTGGTCCTTTCAAAACACCGCTATATCTTTGGCGTTCTCAAAAACTGACATTTGTGGTCACTTCCTCGAATCATATGGTCAAATCGTTGCTCTTTATAAAATGAGTAGAGAGTGTATATGACTAAGATCAATAAATTATCACATTTAATCACGTAGTAGAATTCATGTGAATACGGAACAAACTATTAGATATGAATATATTATTCAAGTCTGAATTTTTGATCCGTTACATTTAACCCTTCATAGTTTGAACAATTTAGCGGGTGTTATTGGATTGAGGTTATTCAATTATGTATTTGTAAAAGTATGTTAAAAATATGCTGTTAATGGATTAGTATATGTTTGATGTATTCTAAAATAAATTAAAAACAATTGTTATTCAATGTTCATTTGATTTGTTTATTTTAGAGTTGAATGTATTTTTACTCATAAAACATGAACAAAAACAATCCGAGCATTTTATCAAGTATTTCAAATCCCATATTTACGCCCATGTATAAGCATTGGACTTCAAAATCCAATCCACATATCTAGACTATTAATTGGGAATCACTAGATAAGAAAAGACCTTAAATTTGTAAGACATTACAAGAAATGCCATTGGAAATATTACATTCAAAGAGTAAATGAAAAAAATCGTTCAAGGGTAAAAGCATAATTACAAGTTGAAAAAACCCGCGGATCATGGGTTACTGGATCAGATAAACACGTGGATCCTGGGCTTCTGGGGCGAATAAACACGCGGATTCTGGATCGATCCGGCCGGTTGAGATTTGGCAATGTTATTATTAGATATTTCCTACAATCTGAAAAAAATTAAGCTATCTAAATTCGATTTAATATTTAATGTCAGTCATTAAGTTAAAATCTCGAATCTTTAAGAACATTACCTAATATGAAATTAAAAAATTAATCCAAATATACTTCAAATTACTTTAAATTCAAATTAATTTGCAACCATAAACGTAAAATCTAATTATTTAGTACACTATTATCAATTTCCCCCAATTTCCTTATTCAAGCTAACAGTCCAATAATCACGCAAATCCATAGCTTCGTTTCATACGAATTCAATGGTAATTTTTAGTACTATATTGGGAGGAGAGAATATTACAAAACGAAAATCTTTACAAATCCTACTACTAAATGACCTAATAAATATCACTAAAATTCTCAATTTTTGCAAATCTTACTAATTATTAACGAGAAACTCTATATATGAATCTTAAAATATATAAAAACAGAAAAACCTAATGTATTGCCTAAAACGTCGTTAACAACCATAATCGCTAGGTTGTTTATCAGCCGACTCAACCTCCTTATAAATATGTACTACTCATATCATTTTTTATTCACAAACAAGAGCACCTATTACTTCAATATAAATAATCCTTAGGTATTAAACCTACGTATACTTAGTATCTATCTTTTTTTCTCTTGACAACTTTTATGAATGTTTCTGATTTATAGTTTATACAATTCTCTGTTTTTTTTGTGCGAAACAATAGAAATGGTACTGATTAGGTATTTTTTGAAAAACCCCCAAAGGAAAATAAAATTTCAATCAAACGCCACTCAGCTAATTCAGAGACAAGGAAACAATTAATCGGAAAGACCGAAGCCAAGGAAACCATCACCGCAGATGCATCAAACCAATATAAAATCGTAAATCCAAGCTTGTAAGACACTAAATTTCAATCTGAATCATCTAATTCAGCAAAATTTTATACATGGGGATTGAAAGAGAGCACTGCAAAACCCGGACGCCCTAATTTGGGAAGAAAAGCGTAGGACTTTAATCTCGGCAGCCCCCTCTCCTCCAAAGAATTTCTATTTCGTTCCTGTTCTAAAAATAAATTATTTAAGTGTTTATTTTAATTCAAAAAATCAGTAAAAGACAATTATATTAAGGGTTTTCGACTTATTTACTAATCCAACCTATGTTTGGATCAAATATCCAACAATTTTGGGCTTAGTTTCGGATCCTCTTATTTCTCAAACAAACTCTAATTCCCAAAAGTAAAACGACACTCTCGACAAAGGCCTCGACAAACCCTAACTCCGTCGTTTTCTTTTCCTCTCTACCGAAGACTGAGATTTTCCGATTTCATCTCCACTCCTTCGTCTTCTTTTTCCAAAATTTTGTTTTCTTCTTCTGGATCCTCTTCTTCTTCTCCTGTATATCTTGTTTCAGTCGATACCATCTTCTTCCTCTTTCCTCTTCACTCGTTTCTCCGGATACTCTGTGAATCCGTGATATCCACCGTGAATCCGAGAAATCCGCCGTGAATCCGAGGAATCCGCGGTGAGAAATCTTCTATTTTTTCTCTTTGTAAAAATTATTTTGCTTGATCTGTATTTTTCGATTGATCCGAGATATGGTTTGATTTTTTCTTTGAGGGTTTAATAGGGTTCGAGTCCGATTGATTGTGTTATGTTGGGTGTAATAAAGATTTGATTTTGTTTGAAACAGATGGATTATGAATGGGTTTTCGATTGACTTTGTTTTTTTTTGTTTGAGGGTTTAATAAGGATCCTTCGATTGATTGTGTTGTGTTGGGTTTAATTGGATTCCGGTTTAATTAAAGTTTGATTTTGTTTGAAACATATGGATTATGGATGGGTTTTCGATTGAATTTTTTTTTTTTTTTATGATTATAATCTGAATTTTTATGATTACAATTTGGATTTGAATTACAATTCTGATTTGAAATTGCCTCTGTTAATAGCCATTGTGACTAGTTGTATTGTTACAATTCGGATTTGATGAATTTGTTCGGTATAGATGGTTTATAAAATGAGTTAAAAACTAAAGATTATGAGATTGTTTAGCCTTTAAATGTTTGATATTGAATATCATGTGTTGTTGCAGGTACTAATCACAATGGCTACTACTAGAGGAGGAGGATCTAGTTCTAGAAGGGAAAGATTATTATCTTCTCCTAGAAGATTCAAAAGACTAAAATAATCTGATCCAAACCAATCAGAGCTACCCGCTGTAGTGGATGATGTCGTGGAAGATCAAGGGGACGCATCGGCTTCTGCGAATGATGTCTCTGACCATGAGGTAATCAGTGTATACATGTTTGATTTTTGAATTGTACAACAGAGTACCTATACGTTGATAGTAGGATTTTACTCTAACAAGTATCAATTCCTAATACACATGCCATTGTAGTATATTAGGTTATCAATCCAATCTCAGTGTGACTGCAAGCACTCAAGATATGAAACAGAAAGCAATTAAGTCAAGCCAGTTATGAAAAGGTTTTGTGTGTTTCTATTGATCCTAAGCAACCAATTTAACATGCAAATACCGAATTTGAAAGCATAAGAAAGAGAACTAAACAACAAGTAAACAAGAGCAAGAAGTAAACTAAAGACCAGAAACTATCATGCATAAGCTTTGGAAAAGAAACTATCAACCTAACAAAGCAGAGAGACGATCTAGGCCTAGAAGGTCGAGTAAGACACAAAAGCTAACAGAAACGATAATCAAGCAATCAATAGAGATAAAGGGGTCCTGAGGAATGGGATAATTGATTATAGCAGTCTCTTTAGTCTATCTAGGTGGTTAACAAACTCAATCAAGCTATCCCTAGACAATAGATTCAAATACAAATCAATCCACTCTCGTGACAGAGATTCTCAAGCTAAATCACTTTCATACTCAATTCTCATTGAAGAAACATAACCTAGCAGGCATTATGACTCAATCTAATCTAGTCAATAAGCATTCTAAACATCCAATCTCTTGGGCTAGAGTATGCAAATCTCTGGAAAAGTTTGTTCAGACATTTCATCAAACACCTTTTGGGTGTGGAAATGTCTGAGATCTATTTCCAATTGATCAGAGAAGAAATAGCATTAAGATCTACTAAACCAGAAGGGAAATCAAGCAATTCTACACTTAACCACCTAAATATACTAAAGATTCCACACCTAATCTAACCCATCCTCAAGAACCCTAATCCACTACTCAAGAACACTGAAGAACATCATGCATAAAAACCCAGAAAATTGCATAAACCCAGAAATCATTAAAAAGCAAGTATGTTATAGATAAGAGGCAGATCTACAACTTTGATGAAGAAAAGAAATGCAAAAACTCAAAGGATCAACAGGAAAAACGATTACAAAAACTAGGGTTTATGAGAGAACAGCGGAATATCTGCTGGGTAAAAGGAATATCCTCTGGATAAAAGGGTGAACCCCTATTTATAGAAAATACTAGGTTGCCCTAATTGGCTACAGGACAAAATAGAGAGTCGGCGGAGACCAACTCGACGTGATGTCGAGCCTGCCACGTCGAGCCTGCCCTTCTTCAAAGATGGCGCCTGGACGTCATACTCGACGTGTCATCGAGTCTGCTTGGTCGAGTCTGCTCTTCGTCGGCTTCCTGGCGTCCTACTCGACGTGTCATCGAGCCATGACGTCGAGTCTGGTCTGGATGATCTTGATTGGCTTCATTCCTCTCCAACTTGATCCTTAGTCTAGCTTCAAGGTTGTGTGGCTCCTCCTTGCTCCATTAAGTCCCAAAATAAGCTCCAAAGCACCTGAAACTCATCCAATATGCAACATGCTATGCCATGCAATGCAAATCGTCACTAAGTGATGAAAATGATATGAAAAGGACTCTGGATGCAATGAAAGAGTGATAAATCTTAGCTAAATGTATGAGAAAAGTAAGCTTAAAAGTGGTAAAATACAGAGATATCAACTCCCCCAAACTTAGCTCTTGCTTGCCCTCAAGCAAACAAATAGAACTAAGCTGGAGAAGAGGTTTGAAGGTGGAGACTCAGAACCAAAACATGCATATAGAGTAAGTGAATTCAATGTCCAGGTTGCTAATTCTAGAATGCAAGGTTGACTGATCTCTACTTAAAAACATTAGCCATCTCCTTCACATCTCAACCTAACCTCTGCCTTAATCAATTCAAGCATTCAAATCAGCACATTCCCTTTAACATTGATTAAGTAGGAACCGTGAATCATACTATGCATTGGATATGAACACATTTGGCTTAAGGGTAAAGGTCTAGAGACAAAGATGGTCCCTTAAAGATCTGGTTTAAATCGCAACAGGGGATCTCTCAAGAATGATTGAGCTTTAGTAGAAGGCTAAAGGTGAGTATCAAGTTATGCATACAAGGATAAGACCCCATCTACCCAGAATGTAACCAATATCAACCCAAATGGAGGTCCTATTTCTAATCCCAGAACATGAACTTAACTCTACCCTTTTGCATTCAAAGCATTTACAGACCTTTACTCACATCATTCCTTTCTTTTCTTTGCTTTTCTATCCTAGGAGAAGCTTTCTTACTTTGCTCTGTCTAGCGGATTAGGATACTTCAACAACTAGGGTTCCCTTTTCTTTCTTCTTATAACATAAGGCTTTTTACCCCATTCTCTTTAAGCTATTACAGAACCCTTTTTCTTTACTTTATAACATTCCCAAATCCTTTACTAGACTTTTCTTACTTTAGCTACTTCTCCTAAGAACTCTTTTCCCTTTTCTTTTCTTTCAATGATGAACACAACCTTTTCTTTCTTTTAAGAACATCCCAAACCCAGAATTAAGCACCCACCTAGTCCTATCTGGTCCAGATAACGTGAACCAGAACTACATGAGATACTATCCTTGTCGTTACAGACCTAACACTTTCTACCAAGCTCAATCGGAATAAGGCCTCACATTCACACACAAATGATAAATGGCTTGAAGGAAGGTTAGGGCTAAGGTAGGGAATAACTGCTCCAAAGATGGGAGTCAGCTACTTGGACTAGCAAGAGTGATCAAAAGGTAAAAGAAAGTCCAAGTATTTTAAGGTATCCATGAGTTCATAGCACAATGCACAGCATGATAATTATAAGTCAAAATTCAAGTTCAAATAGATAGGGAATGGCATCAGATCAAAGCGAGATTCGACTAAGAACAAGAAAATCAAGCGTTGAATTCAAGAGATGGTGCGGTCTTACTTCAAGTTCAGTCGATTATGCATTAGAGAACTAACAACCAGGGCACTGAGTTCTACTTAGTGAATATGCATATTTACAAGGTTATAATCATCATAATCTCCAATGCAAATGCATGATGCAACAGTCTTATATGAAAGCGTACTAAAACAGTCTTAAAATGGCAATGCGAACTACATGAACACTCTCTTTTTGTATTACAATTTTCGAAATTTTTCAAATTTTTTTGGTTTTTCTATGCCTTAGATGATTATGCAATAAGAAAACAGAACACAACATCAAATACTTCTTGGACCCTCCCCCAAACTTAAATTACACAGTCCCTTGTGTAATAAAAATTCAGAAGAGAGCTCAAGAGAAACAAACAACGAAACAGAAAAGAAACTAATGCAATGAAATAGTACAATGGTTTAGGGGGATGAGTGGTACTTTGGTTTTATCCGAAGTAGGTGTCGAGGAACTCATCCATGCTCTCCTGCGTGTAAGAAGGAGCTGTGCTTGACTCTGGAGGAGGCTGCTCGACGTTGGTGTTGTGCTGCATGTAGGGAGGATTAGTTGGCTCTGGAGCAGGCTCGACGTGCTGTCTCGACGTGTCATCGAGCTCCATGGTCGAGTCTGCCTCTGGACTTGGCTTTTGAACCTTCCGCTTCCTGCGATGGCTTTGCGAACGTTTCGGGAGTGGTGTAGACTCTTCTTGGCTTTCCCTCTGGCGTGGTTCAAAGGATGAATATCTTGGAGGATCAGCCCTTACCGCGTGTCGTGGAGCCATGCTTGAGGAACCGCTTCTTCTCAAAGTACCTCTCTCTTCTGATGATGATGGAGAATGCTTGGACTTCTTCTGGAGGTCTGTGATCTGAAGCGCCATCTTCTTAACCATGGTGGTCAATGAATCTACCTTCTTGGACAATCCTCGCATCGCCTTCCCTTGAAACTTTCCCAATCCTTGCAGGAGTCCTATGCGCTTGTGAGCTTCTCTCTCGCCTTTGGTCTGCCTAGGAGCTTTGTATTCCTCGAAGAAGAACCGCTCTGGTGCATAATCATCAGGAGCGTCTTGGGTTTGCTCCTGGTCGTCCTCGTGCATTGCTTGAGGCGGTGGAGAGGCAGGGGCGACTTGTGAATCGTAGAGGATGAAGGATGGTGGGCAGAAGTCGATGTTCTCACCAGCTCTAATCGTGGTATGATTCGTGCATGGTAGAAGCAGCCTAGAAGTTCCTTCTTCAGGGTGGTTGAACACATAGAGCAACACGCCTTCAGGAGCTGTTTTATCAAGATAGCCCTTCTTCCTTAAGTACGCCATATCGATCCAAGTTGGGGAAGAGTCTCCTGTTCCCACGTCTATATTCGCAGCTACTAGAATTGGTGTCAGAATTCCGCCAATGGTCAAGCTTCCTTTGCGCCCTGACCTATGCATGTTTGCAGCATACTCCTTGTATCCCAATAAATGATCCAAGAACACAGCTATTAGAGGAGCATTTCCTCTATCTCCCACCATTTCTGCTCCATCACTAGTGTTTCTTAAGGTGAATAGGAGAGCTGAGTCCAGAAGCTGCAGTTCACCTTCACTTATGGTACCGGTGATCTTCTTTGCAAAGAACATGCTAGCAATGGACTGGTGTAGATACCTCACCACTGGGCTTCTAATAGAGGAGCTCTTGCTTTTCGAAGGCTTGTAATCTCCTGGTCCGGCGATTGTCTTCCAGAAGGCTTGGAGTTCGCGCTTATCGAAATCTTGAACCAATCCCTCTTTGCTCGGGAATCCATACAAGAGATTAAGCTCCCTGATCGTTAGTGAGTAGTCTCTTCCCTTGACAGAGAACGTGATGTATCCAAAACCTCTCTCATTCTCTTCTTCTTGTTCATCCGCGTAGAAGTGTACGTCGAGAGTAGCTAGGAGCTGGCAGGTCTCCTCTTGATACCCCTCGAAACTATACCCCAGGAAGGTCTTTAAACCGCACATCTCAGCAAGGTAGTCGATATCTTCAGCGATTCCCAAAGCAGCCATCGTTTCCCGATGAGGATGTCTTGTGCCTTCGAACTCCAGTGTCTTGAGATAGCTATAGTACTCCTCGGGAGTAGGAGGCTTCCTCTTCTTCTTATCCCTTTTGGCTGGCTTAGCAGGTTTGATCTCTTCCTCCATTTCAACAGCTTCTTCTTCCTCCATTTCAACAGCCTCTTCTTGTGCAGGTTCAGAATCTGCTTCAACAACCCTCTTCCCGCGGCTTATCTCTCTTCTCCTTCTGGCCACACGTTCAGCATCATCATTTCTTGAACTCGAGGAGCCATCTCGATGTGCAGTCTCGACGTGACGTCGAGTAGGCTCATAACCTGTCTGACTCAGCGCCATTTCGCCTCCTTCATGTTCTGGTCTATCTTCTCTCACGAAATTGGCATGACTGGTCCAAGCAGAGGCTGGAATCCTCTTGTTGATGATAGCAAAACCACGTGCAGCATGTCTTGCAGAAAGCTTCTTTCTTTCTTGGTCACTATCCATGGAGTTTCCTTGAAAAGAAGAACACAAGGAGCAGAGTGGATCAAATGAGCAGAGAATAGAGTTTTTAAAAGAAGAGAAGTGAGTTTTAAACCTTGAAATCGAGTTTTAAAACCAAAGTTTGAGAACTTTAAAAGCTTGAAAACGCAAATGCAAAGGAGAAATGAGAGAACTAGAGCTTTTAAGTGAAAAAATATGAGAGAATTTGAAGAAATGAGAGAGTGAGAGTGAGAGGAGCTCTTCTTCCCTTTTAAAGACGCCCAAGGAGACCAAAAGCAAGGGTGGAGCGTGTGGGAGCAGGGATTGTCGGATCTAGGATTCAAATTTGAATTTTGAACGGTTTGAGCGTGCTCTCGACGTGGTGGCTCGACGTGGGGTCGAGCATGTCGGCAAGATTCGAAATTTGAATTTTTGAGCGTGATCTCGACGTAGGTGGCTCGACGTGGGGTCGAGTGGACCGTTTGACCATTTTTGAATTTGAATTTTGGCTCCAAAGTTGACTTACAGGAAGGTTGACTCGAGTTAATGGGCTTGTAGGTGTTGGGCTTGGCTTAGCATCGAGTTGGGCTTCGTTTAAGGCTTGGAGTTGGTCCATTGGGCTGGCTCGACTTGTCATCGAGTAGGCTTGGTCGAGTCTGCTCAATTCTTCCATTTTCCTGACTCCAACAGATTAAATCCTGAGAATCACAGACACTAAAAAAAAACATCAAAAATAACAAGAGATAAAGAGCTATTTACAAAGATAAACATGGGAATTCCTCCCAAGTGAGCTTGTTTAAAGTCACTAAGCTTGACTTTACTACTCTTTTAGGCGAGTTGAGGTTCCTGAAGATGGACTGTAGATCCTTCAGGAATGACGCTATCCGCGAGATACTTCTTAAGTCGCTGACCATTCACCTTAAACTCTGACCCGTCCTTAGTAAATAGCGATATCGCACCAAATGGTAGAACTTCTTGATAGTGAAAGGACCAGACCACCTTGATTTGAGCTTTCCCGGAAATAGCTTGAGTCTGGAGTTGAACAGTAGCACTTGGTCTCCAGCCTTGAAGTCTTTTGGTGAAATCTTCTTGTCATGGAAAGCTTTTGTTCTTTCCTTGTACACCTTTGAACTCTCATAAGCTTCAAGCCTTATTTCCTCAAGTTCGTGCAGGTCAACCGATCTCTTCTCTTGAGCTTCTTTGATATCCAAGTTCAGCAACTTAGTAGCCCAGATTGCTTTGTACTCTACCTCAACTGGAAGATGACATGACTTCCCGTACAGCATCTGAATGGTGTTCTTCCAATTGGTGTCTTGAATGCAGTCCGGTAAGCCCAAAGTGTATCATCTAACTTGGCAGACCAGTCTCTCCTTGAAACACCAACAACTCTTGCAAGTATGGCCTTGATCTGACGGTTGGATACTTCTACTTGCCCGCTAGTCTGAGGATGATAGGGAGTAGCTACCTTGTGTTTTACACCGTGCTTCTTTAACAGACTCTCAAAGACCTTGTTGATAAAGTGAGAACCTCCATCACTGATCACAGCCTTAGGGATACCAAATCTGGGGAATATGATGCTCTTAAACAGCTTTAAGACAACCTTATGATCATTAGTTGGAGATGCAATGGCCTCAACCCATTTGGAGACGTAGTCCACAGCAACTAGGATGTACTTATTACCATAGGAAGCAGGATTGAATGGTCCCATGAAATCAATTCCCCACACATCAAAGACTTCTACCTCAAGGATAGGGTTCTGCGGCATTTCATTCCTCCTGGTGATGTTTCCCATTCTCTGGCAGGGATCACATTTAGCAATGAATCCATATGCATCTTTAAACATGGAAGGCCACCAAAGGCCAGCTTGAAGAACTTCTGTACTGTCTTGAAGGTAGCAAAATGACCGCCATAAGCAGAACCATGACAATGTTCCAGCACTCCTTGAACTTCCTCTTCAGCAATACACCTTCTAAAAAGGCCATCAGTACCCTTCTTATACAAATAGGGTTCATCCCAGTAGTAGTGGTTGATGTCTCTAAAGAACTTCTTCTTCTGGTAAGCATCAAGGTATTTGGGGATCTCTCCACAGATAAGATAATTCACAAAGTCAGCATACCATGGAAACTTTCTTCCTTGACAGCACAAGCTACTTCGATTTCCTTCTTGTTGTACACTATTTCGTAACTCTTGATAGCTAACAGCTGCTCTTCAGGCATTGAATCGTCTATCGGAGTAGCTTCTTCCATTCTCATTCTTGAAAGATGGTCAGCTGCACCATTCTCAATCCCTTTCTTGTCTACTATTTCCATATCAAACTCTTGCAGAAGCAGTATCCATCTTAACAGTCTCGGTTTAGTGTCCTTCTTGGCATATATATGTCTCAGGGCAGCATGGTCTGTATAGACAGTTACCTTTGATCCAACCAAATAGCTCCTGAACTTCTCAAAAGCAAATACAACAGCTAGAAGCTCCTTCTCCGTTGTTGCATACCTTCCTTGGGCTTCATCTAGAGTCCTGCTGGCGTAGTATATAACGTGAAGTTTCTTGTCGATTCTCTGGCCTAATACAGCTCCCACAGCGTAATCTGAAGCGTCACACATAATCTCGAACGGATAGTCCCAATTAGGAGCTTGAACTACATGGAGCAGTTACCAAAGCTTCCTTGATGGTATGGAAAGCTTTGAGGCAATCTTCATCAAATTCGAACTCCGCCTCTTTGCATAGAAGTCTTGTTAATGGTCTGGCTATCTTGGAGAAATCTTTAATAAACCTCCTGTAGAACCCAGCGTGGCCAAGGAAACTTCTGATGTCTTTGACTGTCTTTGGTGGCTGTAACTGCATCATCACTTCAATTTTACCCTTGTCAACCTCTATACCCTTCTCAGATATCTTATGACCCAACACAATGCCTTCCCTGACCATAAAATGGCACTTCTCCCAATTGAGAACAAGATTAGTCTCTTCACACCTGGTCAACACCCTGCAAAGATTCAACAAACATGAGGAGAAGGAGGAGCCATAGACCGAAAAATCGTCCATGAATACCTCCACCATCTCCTCGATCAAATCCGAGAAAATAGAGGTCATACACCTCTGAAAAGTTGCAGGAGCATTGCATAAACCAAATGGCATTCTCTTATAGGCAAAAGTTCCATAGGGACATGTAAAAGTGGTTTTTTCTTGATCATTAGGGTGAATCGGTATTTGAAAGAAACCACTATATCCGTCAAGAAAGCAATAATATGGATGATTAGCTAAGCGTTCTAGCATCTGATCAATGAATGGCAAAGGAAAGTGATCTTTTCTAGATGCAGCGTTTAATTTCCTATAGTCGATACACATCCTATGTCCTGTTATAGTCCTAGTTGGAATCAATTCATCCTTTTCATTCTTACTACAGTCATTCCTCCCTTCTTAGGCACACAGTGAACAGGTGAAACCCATGTACTATCAGAGATTGGATAAATAACATCAGCATCAAGCAATTTAAGAATTTCCTTTTTCACTACTTCTTTCAAGTTAGGGTTTAACCTTCTCTGTGGTTCAATACTAGAATAGGATTCGTTTTCAAGGTGAATTCTATGATTGCATAAGCTAGGTGAAATTCCTTTTATATCAGACAACGAATAACCGATAGCTTTTCTATACTTCCTAAGCTCAGACAACAGCAAATTCACTTCATCATCATTCAATGCAGCATTTATGATCACAGGGTAAGTAGAGTTTGTTCCGAGAAATGCGTACCTTAGCCCTTGCGGAAGTGGTTTGAGGTCTACCTTAGGTGCTTTGAGCTCAGACCAGTCATCTGAGGTAGGAGAGGGCCATCTCGACGTGTCGTCGAGCTTGCTGGTCGAGTCTGCTCCTTGGACATCTTCAGAATTCGAACTGGGAGGGCCATCTCGACGTGTGATCGAGTAGGCTAGGTCGAGACAGTCCTGAAACGTCCTCTTTCACTGTACTGACTTCTGCAACTGGTACCTCTAACTCCTCAAAGCATTCTGATGATTCTTCTTCTTTATGGGAGTCTAGCAGCTTCTTATACCCCAATGTCTCTAAGTGTAAGAACCCTTCTTCTCCATCTTTGGTAAGAGCACTCTGTAGGTAGTCTTCTTCAGTAAGCTCTTCAAGCAGTTCGTCAGCTAAACGATCCATTTCTTCTATGTAGAACACTTGGCCGTCAATGGTAGGTTTCTTCATCGTCTTAGTGATGTCGAATGTCATCTTGAAATCGTCACCGAGGTTTAAGTCGATCTTACCTCTTCTGACATCAATGAGAGCTCCAGCAGTAGCTAAGAAAGGTCTCCCTAGTATGAGAGGGTCCTTTGGCTCTTCATCCATTTCTAGAACAACGAAGTCTGTAGGGATCTCCACTCTTCCAATCTTCACGGGTAGATCTTCTAACATACCATGAGGGACTCTTACGGATCTGTCGGCTAAGATTAGTTGGATTTGGCAGGACTTATACTTGTTGAAACCAAGTCTTCTTGCTACTGAGAGTGGCATCAAACTGACTGATGCACCTAGATCACATAGGCATTTACTGAAGAACAAAGGGCCTAGTGAACAGGGTAGAGTAAATGAGCCGGGATCCCCAAGCTTCTTTGGTATGATCTTCTTCTGTATGATAGCACTGCATTCATGGCTCAACACTACCATTCCTTGTACTTCCTGAATTCTCTCCATTACCATGTCTTTCAAGAACTTGTGAGAATCCGGAATCAGCATGAAAGCATCAATGAGAGGCATCCTTACTTCAAGTTCTTTGATGTGTTTAGCAAACATGGCTCTGTACTTCTCAATGATATCCCTCTTGAATCTTCCTGGGAATGGTATTTTGGGCTTGTAGGGCGGTGGAACAAAAGCTTTCTTCTTACCCTTATCAACAACTGGTTCTTTGATCTGGGGACTCTTAGCTTGATCCCTAGGTGACAGTCTCCTGGTCAAGCTTAGTGGTGTCTTCTACTGGAGTTTCATTCTGAATAGAATCCTCCCCTTCTTGAATCTCACTGTCCTCAGTGACAGGATCTTGGTTAGGTCGAGCACGCAGCTCTCGACCACTGCGGAGTTGAATTGCATTAGCATACTCTCTTGGATTCTGAATAGCTTTCCCGGGTAGTTGTCCGGGATGTTTAGGTGCAGAAGTAGAAGCAGCTTGGCTCTCCATGTACT